GACCCGGCAAACGTGCGGAAAATCAGGCCGAGGAACGGGGAGAGTTTGGGAAATTCCACCCCCCGCACATACCCCCCCGCACCCCCCCCTCCTTTCCCCGCGTCCACTCCCCGCCTAGTCCTTCCAGGCGAGTCCTGTTCTAGCACTGAAGGTGGGGCTTAAATGTATTAATATTAAAAAAGCGCTGTTGACCTATATTTGGAGGAAACCCATTTCCAGTGTCTAGATTGCATGTAGTTTCAGAAACTCCGGGATTGGCAGAGCAATTGACTTCACCGAGCTCTCTGTTGAGCATGAATAATAATTATGAGGTGACTCTCGGAGAGGATCTCTCCTTCTCTTTCTCTCTCTCTCTTTTTTTTTTTTTTTTTTTTTTTTGCATAAAATGGTTCCGCAATCTGATTCCGCCCGATATCCAATATTTACCCAGTTGTAAACCTTGTGCCATCAGATTTTTTAAAACAGAAGGTGATGCAATGCCGATAAGTTGCAAGTCCCTCCCCTATGGAAGTACCAGAGCATTGGTGGCGAGCATCCTTAAAGAAATATCAATATATTTACGCTCTGATGGGCACAATTGCAAATGATGGTATTGCAATACGAGCTATATAATACGGAATCAGGAGAGGAATGGTCGATCCGGCTTCAGCTGCCTTTTGTGAGTGCACGACTGCATGCCTACTAAATTTAGAATATGCTCGCGAGGGAAAATAATAATAATAATAATAATAGTAATAATGAAGGCTAAAATGAAACGAAGCGGAAAAAAAAGAAATTAAATAAAATATATATATATAAAAATCAAGTCAGCAGACGTAGCAACCGAGGACTGCGTTTGTAATAATGAGTGAGTGGCCTGGCGGTCACTATACACTTGGGGTCCTCTGAGCTGTATGCAATTCGTTTGATCAAAGTGCATCCTTGGGGACAAATGCAAACAGCAATCTCTAACCAAGTTACAGGGAACGCCATGGCACGGTAATGACTGTAAGTATCACACAGATTCCCCCACCAAATATCTCGATAGCTCCGGCTCCAGCCCCTGCTAACTTGGCTGGAGAGATGGTATTTACATTCAATGGGGGAAACTAGCCGAGTTTGGAGGGGCGGGGGGAGGAGGGGGAGAGGGAAAGGGGGGGGCTTTCAAAAATACTAAGACAGATGCGTCCTTTAGGATTGCTCAGAGAGGTTAACAAACACAAATACAGGTATCTCTGTGGCTCTACCTGAGTCATCAGTCTGTCAGCTCCCGTGTTCTCTTCATCCTTAAAAATAATGTCAGGGTTGTAATTTGGGGTTAGTTCTTTAAATCTCTCGGAGTTTCTTGTGATCTTCCCTTCATATCTTCCACTGGCCCCTAGGGTCTTCTCTGCCACATTGGGAATAAACTGCTTATAGGCTAAAGGGGTCAGCTTTTTGGGGTGTCTCCTTTTTCCAATGCCCCTGCCTGGTCCACAAGTCAGCCCAGAGGAGACTAAAAGAGCGCAGATGAAGCCCACCAAGAGAATTCTTGTCAACAGCAGCATTTCGTCCATTGAATCCAATTACTTCAAAGCTCTCTGTGCCTATCCCTGGCTGTCTCTCTAGAGCTCTCTCTCCTCCTATGTCCTTGTCTGCTTTCTGAATCGTATACTATCCACCGATCCCTAGCAAGACAGGTGCTGGAATGGCAGGCTTTAGGTCGCTGATAACGGAACACATCGGAGTTTGGTCGGGAGACAGCAATCGAGAGACAAAAAAAGGGTCTGATTTTAATGGTAGCAAAGCAAGACGCTTGTGAGAGGAGTCTGCCTTTAGTTCTATATTATAGCTGCCAGGGCCGAGAGCTGATTGGCCAAGGCGAGACAAGCTTGTCTTCTGATGTTTTAACCCTCAAAAAGGCAACAAATTCTTGAAAGATTTTTTTTTTCCCTTTTACCTGAAGGGCTTGGAGCTGAGAGGGGTGGAGATCGCGCTTTCTTGGGATAACATCAATTACACGCTGGGTTTTTTTGCTGTTGTGTTTTTTTTTTTTTTTTTCAAAAACTTTCTTGGCAGAATGGTACATTTGTCAGCAAGAGGAACAGATGCCTCTGTGAAAGAGAAAAAAAAATAAATAAGATTAGCAGGCTGCCTCAGTGCAAGTCAAGTTTCTAAGGGCAGTTACGGTTAAATGAAATGCGGAATTATCGGGGAGCCGTGCAAATAGAAACGTATTGGGGAGATATTAACGCCCAGGGTGGGAATAATGCCATTTAGGAGCGCACCCACCTCAGTGGCTTTGTAACAGGTTTCTTCTCCCTGAAAAGGGAGACTGCTCTCCCTCCTAAAGGCACACATTTCTAAACACACTCGCCTTTTAGCTGATAAGTGACTACTTTAAAGGCAGAAACAAGTAACTCTGATGCGAGGCGGCAATTATATGAAGTTAGCGTGTCTCACTTGTCTATCATACAACTGCAATGTGGAGACATCTAAATGGCACTTTTTTTTTTTTTTAATAAACCCAGGACTATCGCCCAGTTTAAAATAATGTTGTATCTTCAGAAGTGCATGAAAAGTCAACTGATTAAAAATAGATGGTCTCCTGAGCACGCTGGGGCTATATTCTTTGTTTCTTTGGTCGAAGAGGAGCGTTTTAGACTCTTACACCTCCTTGCGGGGTGTCATTAAGTTTTTAAGAAAAGCATAGTGTTGAAAGCATCCGCAAACACAATTAACAGAGATCGATCCAAGCAAAGTGAATGGAAAGGGGATAAGTTTAATGTTAAATTAATTGTTATCTCATGCAGCGTGGCAAGTGATGTCTTTATCCCGATCTCCAAAAGCTACTAATCAGACAAAGGTGTTGAGAGACGAGCAAAATTGCAGAGATGGGGCTGATAGAGCAGGTTAGACAGAAAAGCAGAGTCCCATATGAACAAACACTTCTCTGCCTGTAAAGAGCTCATTTACTTTTGCTCCTAAGAAAATACAATTTGTCCTTGGACCTAGAAACTTTCAGGAGTCTTTTAGGAGTTCTTAAAAACATCAGGACGACATGCTGAAGTAATTCAAAATCCACTCTCTCAGAAAAATAAAAAACAAAAAATACCCAACCCGAAAATCAACTTTATTTAAGTTCCCACCCCCCCAAAAAAAAAGCTCTTTGGGGCGAGTAATTATATGGGAGTTTTCCGGTCTGTGACATAGAGCTGAGTCGTAATCAACTTAAACCATGTGAAAATGGACTTTGAAATTAGTTTTTAAGTGGTAAAAAAGTTATATATCCGTAAACTGTAACAAGCAGGACAGCACGGACTTTTCAAGGGACAAAGTGGTCTTTCTACGTAAACTTTAGAAAATAGCCGTAAGAAGTGATCCGAAGCTCTCACAACGACTCGAACTGCTGCTCTTCCCTCTTTTTTAGCCTACACTTTTCTTCTGCTATTTATGTTTCTTTGTAAAGTTTCAGTGAATCATTGATTTCTCTGTCCCGGCTGTAAATTTAGGAGTTTTGACTTGGGAATGGGTAAAAAGTTAGAAAGTCAGCAGCTTGGCTTCTAGGTTTTTATCAACCAACTTAGTTGCAGAGACAAGTTGTATAACAGCTAAATACCTGCTTCATGCTACTAAAAAACAAACTTAAGTTTTATCTCCCTGTCTGCGTGCATGTGAGAAGACAGATACAAGGAATATATAATTTATACAAAAGAGGGTATGTGCTTTTGATGTGGTTGCTTAAACAGCATGACTTGATATAACAGTTGATTAAACAGTGCCAAGGAATAAAAGCTATTCTTAATGGTGTGGGATACTGCAAATCTTTTATCACCCCTCTTACCTTGTCCCCCTCCCCAGGGAAAGATGATCGATATCCCAGGCACTAGACGGGTGGACATCTCAATGAAGGAGTATAGAGAATAAGGATAAACCCCCTCATTATCAGATTGCCATATGTACAAAGCAGTCACCCAAAGATTAACAGGAAAGGAAACGCAAAGAAGGAATTAATTAAATGCAAGTAATAAATGCGCGGGGAGGGGGGGGTGGTGGTGGAGTGC